ATTTATCTAATTATACCTATCTACTATTTGCAAATGCTAATAAAGGGAATGTTATTTATATTTTATTGATGTATGTGACTCATATTAAACGTTCTAGTACAAACCGTATACCTAATACAATTTTGTAATTGTATTGAAATCACCATAGGTTTATATTTATGTTTTAATCTAACTGTTAGAATTATAAATAATACCTAATTACTTTATAAATATTATTAATTGTATATATACTTGTGTTTGCATCCTATGTATAAAGTTCTTGGCAGTTGACACAATGTATTAAAATATTATAAAAGTTGAGTATAATTCCTTACCTGGCTTTTTGCACTAAACCGCAAAGTGTAAAAAAGATAAATTATCTATTTATGGTCAAATTTATATAACTGCATGGTGTGACTTATTATCCAATTTAAAAAATACTTTTCAATGAACTAAAGGAATTGAATTCATACATAAAGTCGGCGTAGATTCATATATTATAGATAGGTACTTTATAATAGATTCTCGACATTTTGTACAGTTCCAAATTAATTGATTTAATTCCTTAAAATAAAAATGCTTTTTGAAGATCTAACAAAGTAAAAAAAAAAGAAAAAAAATTTCCTTCACAACATAGAAAGAAGGCTAACTATTTAATTAATTTTATAAAATTGAAATAGATGTAAGTAAAGTCACATTCTAACACATTAATTTAAGCTGGCTGTCACGTGCTCTCTGTAAAATAATACCTACAATCCGCGGATCGCTGCCCGCCGTGGTCTACGTACCTACTCGACAGCCCTTCTGCCTGCTCTCTGTTTCATCGCGCYATCAGTTTAAATAGCTTGATTATTTTTTGTCAGCTTATTCGTCTAAATACATGAAAAATACAAACCCTTTGAACTTCCTCTATTCAATATATATTTTATGTTAAGGCATATATTCACTGTTCTATTTGAATATTTTCTAATTTCCAAACGCTTTTTCTTACTAATCTAATTTAATTCTTAAGATACCAATAGTTATGTTTTGAGTTTATAAGTGTCATTAAAATTACCTGGCAATAAATCGTTATATAAATTATAAAAATAAAACACATTTATATAATAAAATATTACTCTAAGATTTCACAGGAAGTAATTTAAAGAAATTAAACTGAAATAATCTCATCACAAAATAATCGATTCGTTATTCTGTTCAAAAYAAGACGGCATACTGATCCTTGGAGCGTACAGCCGAACAGGTGGTCAATCTTTTGTGTGCCCATATCGAAGGTCAGAATGTATGTAAGGAGGGATGATCTGATGATCTATAGCAGGGTTTCTCAACCTGTGATACCTACTAAGAAATCTMATAGACGGACACTTTAAGCATAATATATCTCAATTCATAACGAAAAAAAAATTATTTACATTAGGTAAATATTATTTGATTTATTTGATATTAATAAGGAAATTATTGCACATATCTCATTAACTTGTCATGCATTAAATGCTTATTATTATATTACCACCATTGTGTAGTTCTTAATTAAATACAATTTCATTCTATTAAAAAATAACATAGATACCAATACATTTTTGATTAAAACAAAAAAGTTATTTGGTCAAATTGTACTTGAACATTTTCAAACTGTGTATGTGATATGCAGATATAAAAAGGTAGAGAACCACTGACATATAGAATTGTAGTGTTGTACAAAACTACAAACTATACARCACTACCTACTGTGTTGCGACAGGATTTCTCATTCTATTCATTGATACTTTGAGTAGGTATACCTATTGGATTCATATGGTGTACATGTCTTGATGTTGTAATGTTTTATGTTAGTATTATTATACATTTATAAACTGTATTGTAATATATTAAAAAATTAATTTTACAATAACTCTATAGCACCCCCCTCCCCACTTAAATTCAAAATTCCAGGTTACGCCACTGGTGTTATACTCTTATACGTATTGTGTATATGCACAGCTCCTCCACCATTTCCACACTTTTCTCACGAATTATGCATACACATTGGACACATTGCATAACCATACCAAAGAATTGGGTAACAACTAACAACTATTAATATCTGTAAGTCAAAAATATTTAAAACAAGTGATAATTATTAGCTTATAGATAATACCACACACCTAACACATCTTTTGAGGCTTCAACACTTGGGCATAGGGTTCGATGACACTGGGAGGTAATCATTATACTATTTTCATTTTTCCAAGATAGGTATACACTATAGGTGCTTATGCCTAGTTAGTGAAGAAATCCCACTATATATATTTTCAGATGTGTACCCGTACCGAACCATACCCACGTACAATTTCAATGGTATCACACAATTATTTATGGAAGGTATTTATTTTTCATCTGGAATATATTGTTACATCTCTCTAGAGCATGGTAATACGCACAAATCATACACTTCATTGTGCGATATTATCGAAGGTAATATCTTGGTAAAAAGATTGTGTAAAATAAAATACGGCGATAATATAAAAAGGATCAGCGCAGCGCGGCCTCCGCTTTACCAAAATTGAATTATATTTAAGGGTAGGTATATAAATGTACAATAATAATATATTATTATCATGTTTTCTTCTTTCAGCATTTACAATGATAAAAATCATGGCAGGTGCATTCACAAACCCAATCTTTTGTGTATTTATTAATGGTGTATAAAATGTCTTTACTGTGGAAACGGCAGATGTTTAAGCGACGCCGGAGTTATTATTTATCACCCGTCTGACTATTGTCCCTGCCCACTGGTAACAGGCCACAGGCTTTAACACTTTTATGTTCATCTTTGTGTATTAGGTGGCTAGGAAAAGAGATATTTTCTTCTAACAGTTTTACATAATTTTTTTATAAGTTCTAAGGAATATTAAAATAACACAGCAACTTCAATGATCCTATAAAAAAATAATAATAAATAATAAATATTATTTAAGTGTATAGAAAACTAAGATAATAATAACAGATATTTAATGAACTAAACTTGTCATTATGATATAATATTAAAATTTACTAAAAGGTACCTTACAATCCAATTCACTTTTTTCCTTTTTACTAATCTTCTGTTTTATTTTAATTTTATGAAGCAGATAGGTATTAAAGCTTGAAAATTGAATGTGAAATTTTGTTATTGTTCAAAAAAATATTATTCATTGAAACTGGAAATATTCCACATTTGCTTAAAGTTAAATTTATATATATTATCATTTTTAATACACAATGTTTGTTCAAATGATTTAAACTAATTTTAAGCTATTTAAAATTTAAATTAAATTTAAAATGTTTTTTTATAAATACATTTTAACTTTACTGAATAATTAAACTAATTTATTTTAACAAAATTTAACATCAACGATTTTTTAGGTACGTACTTTTTGTAAATTTATTGTTAGCTAATTTAAAATGCTGCTAATAATTTGCAAAAAATACTTTTGTGTTCTATCATAAATCAATCATAATTATTTCTAATCTAAATTCTACATAATATCATAAATCATAATATTATATGAAATGTAAAAAGTACCTACCTATACTAAAACAAAAAATAAATATTTGTGTAATTACAGAACCAATAACTACAAATTAAACTTATCTGCAGGCGAACACTGAACACATGCTACACATAATATAAAGCATGTAATTTTGATCACTTTTAGTTCTAATCCGAAGATTTTGTTTCTGTAGGTAATCCTTATAAAAAATTATTACTCCCACTGTACCCGAGCGAATTCTAAGAATTATTTTTGACTTAATTTAAATCTAAAATTCTAGCTATTGCTAAATCTCAGAATCGTTAGACTCAGACATGCTTTAAAACATATATGTAGTAGCACCATATCATTAAAAAATTTAAAAACCTATTTAATGAATACATTTTTTATATGGGAAAACCAGTTATAAGCATAATATTTTATTATTTGTGGACGTAAAAAGTACCGATTTAGAAAAAATATAGAACCTGTCTATCTTTTTATTATGTATGCTCGAATGAAATAATTTATGTCAGAAACATTCATTTTTGACAGTTATTGATCGTATGAGGGTGTTGTCATGACGCCGAGTAAAAGCCTCCTGGTCCGACTATACCTACCGGTATAAGATTACCACCCAACACCACGTCAATCGATAATAACAACGAACAATACGATGGACGTTGCAGTGCAGACGTTATTTTTCCCAGATATTATATACATTTTAATATTTGTTCGTTTTCTTGTATTATAAATATGTACTGAATATAGTAAAAAAAAAAAAATGTTTTTAATGACATTATTAT